TCTTTCTTCACAAAAATGGCTTCTTTTACTCCTCTCTCAAACAAGAGATTCTCTATCAAGAATGAGAACATCCTCATCTCTGAAAGAGTGACCTCTGGCCTGTAAATGAGTGAAAACTGCAGAGTTCTGGCCATTAGATGTAGCTCGTCTGTGTTGGGACATTCTTTTGAACAGTGGCTGCTTTGTTTCTGTGGACGAACATTTTCCTGGATTACTTCCACCTGGCTTGACATAGCTGCGTCTCTTCAGCCTGGTTTGGCCTTTATGAAACAGATGAAGCCAGGATGAACTGATCAAGCTATGTCAAGCCTAGATTTATCTCTCATCCTGGATTTCTCAATGATGCTTTTGTGAAACAGCCCTCTGGTTATTGGTTTAAATGTAGCAGCTGATTGGTGTCAGTAAACAAGCTACGTAGATGTTATTTTTATTTAAAATACTCCACTGATATGGAGTCTGTTTTCTTTGTGCCACCTGATGGATTTCTTTAAGGTGCTGTTTAAGCTTTTGTATTTTTATATTTTTCACAAATACCATTAATGGAAAGTATTACGCTCCTTGTCTGTTGTGCTGTTAATTCTTTTTTTTTTTAGTTTCTCCTTTGAGCTCATTTGAGATCCAACCATCTCTACAAGCCCTGCTCTGTTGCTCAGATAAGAGTTTCTCTAAACTGAGAGTAAAACCTATTTGATGCAAAGAGAAATCACCCTCGTCTCACTTTTGCTACGTTTACTCATCTGACCACCAGAGGGCAGCACCAAACCAGCTCTGAAACTTTAACTCCTGCAGCATCAAAGTAGAAACAGGGATTTCACAAAGTGTTAGAAATTACAGCTGAAATAAAGAAAACAATGGTTCTCAAAGTTGGGGTCGAGACTCCACGTGGGTCCTGAAATATCATTACATTTAAAAATGAGTAACAACTATTAGAATTTGCCTTAATTGATACAAAACAGTGAAGTTAGTGTACTTGAGCTGGAAATGGATGAAATTATCACAATGAATATTGTTACTATGTCTTTGTTTATTTGGCCTCATAATGTTTATCACCCAAAAGTATTTGGGGTTTGTGTTATTGCTATATTCAACACACAAGCTGAAATGTTTGGGATCCTCTGCTCTAAAAGACTAATAATCAGGTGAAAAATATAGTAAGGTAAACACTAATTCCACAAACACATAAAAAATCAGTGATGTCTCTTAACCCTCCTGTTGTCCTCATTTTCTGTATACACCCTTTGTCCTCCGGGTCAAAATGACCCGTCTCCACTAAATCCCCAATATAAGCAGCTTAAGCCCTTGACTACATTTTGATTGTTTTTGTCTTTATATATAAATTTATTTGGATTTCTTCTTGTCTTTAAATCATTGATTAATGATTGTTCAGCTCCTTCATCTCTCACTGCAGCTTGAACTTTCTTTTTCCCCTTTAACAGATAATAAACTTATCACCTACTGGGCCTGGTTCTGGTACTGCTGGACTGAGTTCTTTATAACACGCTGCTTTAAGAAACTAAAGGTTAAAGCTTACAGAATCTGAAGAGGCTGCATGAGCTGCAGTTTGTAAGGTGAAGCTGAGGCACTTAAAGCAGATCTTCATAAAAACTATCTGAATAAATACTAAAATCTGCAGACATTAAAGCATCAAAACAACAACTGAATTATTTACAGTAAAGTAAAAAGCAACAGTTTATATATATACATA